GGTGTCTACCTCCAAGACCCTCTTATGCGAAATCAATAACGAAGAGCTAGTACCAAACACTTCCATCTGTACATCAAGTCATTGAAATTATAGCCCTCGTTACACACCAGCATAAAATTCCATTGCTAGTGAGCTTCTGTCCGTGTAGTTTACGTTTAAATGCCTCACCTCCTTATTTCCCTCCTCTTCCTTCTGCTTTTGTGTTTAGAACGCGTCCACCGAATTTAAACGCAATCTCAGCTTCCATCTGGGCATAATTGTGGGCTACGATGGGACCGCCAGTCCCACTGATCGTCCACCCTGGCTGCAAGTTGCTCCCTTCGTGCTGGTCACTAACCGAGAACGCATTCTACCCCTCATTATCGATCCCAACCGATTTACTGAACAAACGACCGACACCTGCTCGAAAGCCTGTGAAGTGGCCCTCACTGATGTTGAGGCGGCTGTTGAACACCCGCCCTGTCTACCCTACCACACTTGTCTTTCATTGGTCAACATGGATTCACCGCTGCGTGAGACCCTCGGTGTAGTGCCAATCACCATACACCAACCTCTCAGGTGAGGGCAGGCCATGCAATTTGGCTCCGACTGCCTCCTCTGTGTTATCCATTGTCTCTTAACTGCCGTAGCCCCCCCAAATAGTTGGGCGATTGACAACGTTATAAAACATACTACTGCCTAATTTTCAGTAACATTACTTTCTAATTGTTTCACCAAACGCCTTATTGACATTTTTGCCATGGTATCGTCACCAATAGGGAGTTCCTAAGTATTAACCTACCTTTCTCTTAAAAAAACTGAATTGAACTGAATTCGACGACGAGGAGAAGGATAGCTACGATTTGCGAGAAAGCAGTTCAGATGCCACTGTCGTGTCCGCCATTATAGCGTATTCGGGAAGTCCGTTCCAGGCGCAGACAACTCCGACTTCCCGAGGACGACGTAGTGGTGGACACAACACGTGCATTCAGGCATAGATTAGATACATATATTTACTTGAATAATATTGTTCGACCTTTCAGGAAAGCATTGTTACACCAAACCAAGGCTTTGCCCATACCCATCGATGACTATGATATCTATTTATTTCACGTTGTCCTCAATCCTTTAGGGTTGTCTACTAACCCAAACTGTTTTGAATAAACATATTACTCTGTAGTTTTGAGCAGCATAGTTATTTTAAACTAAATAGTCTGCTGTTTTTAATAAGGTTTTCAAAGTCAATGCCTAATACCCTTAGGTATACTTAACCATTGTCCCAACTACGACCGTACATTCCAGTCACTTCTCCCCTCTTCCTAGTCGATTACCCCCGTATCCATCATGGGAGAACAATTACCGGAAGTCCCATCAACACTCATTACTAACGTTTTTGTTGCCCATTGGCAGCTTACGTTATATGCACATATATGACAGCAGTCACTAAAATATCGCCAGACCCACCAAATTTGTGACGGTCTAAAGAGTGCTGCAGTTCCGTTCGCGTAGCCGTACGAAAATGTGTAGCGTGCCGAACACGTCGAGGTTGGCACACACACAAACACACCGAATAACATAAAATGACGTGGATACATCCTGGCTAAGTCAGAGCCGCGTATAGCTGTTAAACGCGTCAATACTCATCCATGCGATAAGAGAGAATAAGACTTCTGTGAGTCATAACCGTATGATATGAATGAGTACGAATAAAATGTGTAGCAATGAAAGGAATGTACAGAAGGGATGGGTAACCGAAATGCACAACCTGTCGGGATAGAGAGTGACGCTGACCTGTCTGCTACGTAACCGGTGAGGAATATAGCGTTGTGTCGCTTCATTAAAACAATCCATTCGGTCTCGAGGTCTGTTGCATACGCACGCAGAACCCTTCGGATCGCCTTGAGATGCGCTCAGATAAACCATGAGGAGAGCTCACGGCGCCGGCGGCCTTTCCAAAAACCAGCATTTTCTAGCCTCTTGGCTTGCACGTTCCTGTATGGCATCCCTCTTGGGACAATTTTGCGAACCAAAGGAGGCTGCCGTGACCAGGATTCGAACCTGGGTTCTCGCGGCCACAACGCGATGTCCTAACCACTAGACTATCACGGCGCGCTGCTGAGGTCTTTTTATTGCATAGAATTCTAATGCAGGCAGCCTAAGTGTGCACACGAGCCTTCCGGTCATGTCACACGCTCCACCCGAGGGAGCGCGTGATGAGCGCTGTTGCGCGAATGCATGAGTTAGATTGTGCACTCTAGCATGAGTGCTTTCAGTTCTATGGGTAGCCCAGCGCAGGTGCCTTGTAGTTACCAATGTTACACTGCATCGAACCCTTACAACATCGCCTGAACTCTGCTATTGCACGCACGTACCCAGCAGCCAATATATGACTAGTATCATCAACCAACACTTCTTCGCTTTAAAGGTACGGATAGGCTGGCGTGTTGAACTTCTTCAATGTGCATCTGAAACTTGCGCCTGTGGGGCATGCTATATTTATAATTAATTAATTTATAAAAACATCT